TGTGTGTGTGTGTGTGTGTGCGTCTGTGAAAAAAATAGTGAAATGGTACGGGCTTAACGCCCCTATCAACACTATTAGGTTATTAATATAAGGGGCGGAACCTCCCAGTTTAACGTCCGTCTCCGATAGGACCGAACCAAGTGGGAGGAAGTTCGTGTAAAGTGCCTTTTCCCAAGAACCAAAGTCAGATGTGCGTCCGTGTGTGTCTGTGTGAGTGTGTGTGTGTGTGTGTGTGTGTGTGTGTGTGTGTGTGTGTGTGTGTGTGTGAATCTCTCACCTATAGAAGTAGTTACTCCAGGCGTTGGGTCGCTCGTGCCGCACGGCCAGCCTGTTGTACTCCTGGACCACCCTGAGGGTGCCGTGGTTCTCCATACACAGGTGGCACTGGGTGTTGGTGAAGGTCATCCCCATCGACTTGGACTGGACGCTCTCGTCCTTGAGGCGACGCAGGTTTCCGTTAATCCCGTTAAACTTCTGCACAATCTCGTCAAAGTTGTTGAGGAGTGAGATGGGCGTGGGGTCGGAAGGGGGCGGGTAGGAGTCCCTTCGAGAGGACGCTCCTACACCCCCACCACCACCACGACCGCCACCACTTTCCGTGAAAGAGCAACCCGGGCTGGAGGGTGTATCCGAGGCGTAGCCGCTGCTGGCGTTGCTGCTGCTGCTGGAGTTGGTTGTGGGGATGCCCATAGCCTGGAGCGGGGCGTCGGCGTCTACACGCCTGTGGCAGACTGGACATCGCGAGTAGCCGGACCTCTGTCGCAACCGCATAAACTTTCGGACACAGTTGTGGCACAGCACGTGACCGCACGGGAAGGTGTCCGGGGCTCGCGTGTACTCGATGTCGTGCCGGGTCTCCACAGCGACCGGCGGCTCGAAGGGAGACGGGATCGGGGACGGGGAGCGTGGGGAGCGCGGGGGAGGGGAGGAGAGGGAGGACGGGGAGAACATGGAGGAGTGTGGGGATGGGGATGGGGATGGTGATGGGGAGAAGACTGAGGAGTGAGTGCTGTGCGCGGGGGAGATGAGGGTGGGGGAAGCGGGGATCGGGGGTGAGGTGAGGTGGACCCGGGGACCCATCAGGTCGCTTCGCTTGTTGGCATTGATGTCGTAGAGGCGGAGTCTGTTGGTGGAGGCCATGACGTCACACGGGTCCTTGACAAGCTACGTCACAGAAACAAAGATCTTTGACGTCACACCGACCTTTAACGTCAAACCACAGACCTTTGCCGTCACACAGACGTTTGACGTCACACAGATCTTTGAGAACCTATGTTACACGCGGTTCACAAACTACGACCAGGCACGTGATCAGATAGCTGACAGTCAGCAATGGAGATCAGTGGAGAGTCTTCTGGGAGGGTGGTCACGTGTCGGTAACGTGTCGGTCACGTGGTAGTCACGTGTCGGTCACGTGTTGTTCACGTCCTGGCCCATCACTTTCGGAACCTCTGATCTCACCTTGACCTTCAGGCCGACCGATGTTCTATAACTCACAGACACAATGACTCACAACCACACCACCCTTTCTCGTCGGCTATTTGTGTGTGGTAAGAATTTTACGGCGCTCGCAACTGCATAAGGTCGTGTGAGCGGTAGTTTTCAAATCCGTTCACGGAATGACTTGCTATACTTTATGGCTGGAGTTTCAAAAGTGTATGGTAGAAATGTCCGGCTACCTCCCAGCACCCACTGCACTACTACACGAATCTTGCTGCACGACACGATATTTCTCACAAGTACAATAAAAAAAATGCCTCAGTATTTTCGTCCGGTGGCCGCTATCCGCGGAAATATTGCTATTATTGTTGGAGTTGAGGGGGATGTAGAATCTCCGCCTCTCATCCCAGACACGTCAACAAACGCTGTCCCGGGGATGGGGAGGGTGGGAGGGGAGGGTGAAAAGGGGGAGGGGTGGATTAGATGGGGAGAGAGGGATTTATTCCTGTAACGAGAACCAGCCGGTGATTCACGATGACCCCATAAACGTCAGAAGCTGGCCGACGGACGGGACGATGGGCCTACGGCGTGTCTCCACGGTGACCTCGAATTTGGGTACTTAGAACCTGGAGGGGCTGCGTGTCTCGACGGATGAGCTGAAAGAAAGGACTGCGCGTCTCGATGATTACCTCTAGTTGGTTACTTAGCAGTTGAAGGATCTGCGTGTCTCGACGAGCTCCCGGCTGTTTTTACCCGCAGAAACGTTGACTCGGCGGTAACTGGGCAGGTTCAGAGGCTTCTCACTGTAGGAAAGAAGAAAACGGGAGAAAATTATCATAACATTAGCCTCACTGAGAGGAGTGGTAGTTGGCGGTTGGTTTAGTTTTAGAAAGTTTCACGGCACTTGCAACGCAGCAAGGTCATATAAGTGCCAAAGATTATAGACGTTGCAAGACAGTAACGTGCAAAATTAACAAAGAAGCAAGAGAGTACAGGACGAGAGATGTTTGATAGGAAAGAAAGAACAAACCACACCAGATAGAGCACTCTCCAACAACCCACTTTGGTTGTTAACGTCATTGAGTGACCGATCATTGTGAGAGGGAAAAAACATTTGCATTTGCTTTAGTAAGAGTTTTTCGGCACTTAAAGCACAAACAGGTCATAAAAGTGCCGAAGATTAGGAATAGGTGTTTCAAGAGAGTCATAAACAGAGTTACAAAAGAGAGTAACAAAAACACAAAAAGGAGGAAATATACAGGATGATCCAAAAAAACAACAACTGAACAACTTTTTTTGTTAATATTTTCCTCCACACTGAAATATTGCGTTTCAAATGTGTACACAACAGTTGGAAGTCATTTTTGGGGGTTTATTTTGTTTATATAGTAGAGGGTTTTACGGCGCTCGCAACTGCATAAGGTCATATGAGCGCCAAGGGGTGGGTGTCAACAGAGAAGTCTTTACAGGGAATC